CCACATCAAATTTTAATATTGTCCTTATTAAATTTATTCATTTAAACATTATAAATCCATACAAATTTTATATATTCATCTCACTATGAATACATTTTTAATACAATTTCTAAAATTAAAAAAAATCACTTATTCATCTAATTATTATCAACATTTAATCTGACTCTTACTTTTTATTTTCTATATTGTTATGTCAGTGCATTAATATTTTAGCCATAAAGGTTAAAAAATTTCTTTTCTTAAATTTATAGGATTCTATCAAGAGTATACTACTCAAGCAACCAAACAAACCTCCTAAAATCATATGTTGATAATTTTTTTATTATTATTATTTCTTCTTTTCTTTTTTTGTGCTTATGAGTTCATAATTTTGGTTGTTTGTATTTTGGCTGATAATTTTGAGTTTATTTCCGTTTGTAATGTAAGAATATTTGGACAGGTATTTATACATATTTTGAAATTTTTCATTTATTTTTATCTGTCAAACAAATACTTAAAAAAGCATTAAAAAAATATTTTATTTTTCATATCATGAAAGAATTATAAATCTAATAATGTGTTGATTTTTTTTTAATTTCAATTGAAGACGTTATATATTTTATTATTAAGGTTTTATAATTTTAGATGAAGATTTTTATTACTATTTTTCTTTTTTTGCTTATTAGCTGATAATTTTAAATTTGATTCCTTTTGTTATGTAAGAATATTTGGACAAGTATTGATACTTATTTTGAAATTTTTCGTATATATTTATCTGTCAAACTAATACTTAAAAAAGCATAAAAAATTAATATTTCATTTTTCATAGCATGAAAGTATTATAACTCTAACAATGTGTTGATTTTTTATTTTTTTTTATATCCATTGAAGATGATATTTTGTGATTAGGGTTTCATGTTTTAGCTGAAGATTATTATTATTATTATTATTATTATTATTATTATTATTATTATTATTATTATTATTATTATTATTATTATTATTATTTAATTTTGGTTATTTGTGTTTTGAAAGATAATTTTAAGCTTGTTCCTTTTTGTAATGTAAGAATATTTGGATATATGTTGAAACTTATTTTGACAGTTCTTGTATATTTTCATCTGTCAAGCCAATACTTAAAAAGAATAAAAAATAATATTCCATTTGTCAAATCATGAAAGAATTATAACTCTAATAATGTGTTTTTTTTTAATTCCGTTGAAGAGGATATTTTATTATTAGGGTTTTATGATTTTAGTTGAAGAGTTTATTTTATTATTATTAGAACCTTAGTTAAACACAAATTCTAAAAGAATATAAAAATGTTTAAAAGAGTTTATAAAATAAAGATTAGTGCATGAAGTTAGAACGATATATTTTTATTTAATTATATATATATATAGAGGTAAATTTACATAAGATAAAAATAATAATATAATTATATATATAAAAGTGGATATATATTGTGTGTGAATATAAATGGCGATACCTTTAATGAATAACGACTTTAAATGTAGGAAAATTTACAAAAATACATCATCTTGTATATAAGGTGTAATTATACTTTGTATAGTGTATTTTAGATTTTTAATTGTTCTTAAAAATATAATTTGCTGCAAAATTTACAAATATGTCATTGCAATAGAATAGCGAACAAAAATACACTTAATTGAAATAACAAATCACGCTACACACACACACATAATGTTTTTTTCTCTTTAAATGGTGATTTTTTTTATGTAAGAGATTTATAAAATTTATTATCTTATTTTTCCGAACTCTAATATCAAACTAATAAAAATAAATTTAGGTTGTTAATAAACTATTGAAAAATAAATATAGAAAATAATTCATTTGATTCTTCCGACATTGTAAAACAAATAAAAAATTTTAATTGCTATACTTTGATTAATAATATTTGCTCGAAGAATAAAAACTATACAATTACGATAACTTCTTATATTAATTGTTAATTTGTAGAAAAATCCACCTTAATCGTTTAAGGCTGGGGTAATTTTGCAACTCATAAAATTGTTAAAAATACATGAGTAATTTTATTGTATTTATCACGGACGATTCTCTCTCTCTCTCTCTCTCTCTTTTTCCAGAAACCTTCGTGGAAGAGAAGAATATTTAAATATAATTAGTAAAAAAAAAAAAGCAGTGAAAATACTCGAAAAAGAATGACAATATATGTAGAGATAGATAAATATAAATAAATTAAATTTTAGATGACACGAATTAATATATGAACTTTTGGAGAATAAAAAAAAAATTAAAATTGGTATGTAAAGGTTGCATAATATAACACAAAGGTGTGAATTTTTTATTTTCGATTGTCGTCGGTATCTTAATCTATTTACTTATTTCAAATGGCAAAACTCTAAGGGTTTTTAGCAAAATTAATTTTTCGATACCATATTGTACAATAAAATATGCAAAGTTAAAAAATACAGTGTGTAATGTGTAGATATAACATATATACACGGTTTTTAAATGCTTATAACAAGTTATTTATCTTACCTAAGGACGATCCTGAGGCGAGGCTAGTGAGACCTATGCCTCAGGCCCAAAAGCCGAGGGGGCCTCATTTGGTCAAAGATTTTTTTTTTTGGTTAAATATTAAATGAAGGAAAAGGGAAAAAAATTTCATTTCCTTCTCCTTTCTACTCCTACGACCGATTGCTCTGCCTCTGACACTCCAATAGGACCAGCGACAGCAGGTGGCTTTTTGTCATCTTTTGTTCCCTCTACTCTTTCACACAAATTACAAGAGAACAAACGACAAAACAACTAAACAAGCTGACCCCTTTGTCAAATTTCAACCTTAATCGACTACACAAGCTCTCTGTGATCTTGTCCTGCAATTTGGTGAGAGAGACAAAGAGTCAATGGTTAGCATCTGTCTGTTATCATATAAATTTCCATTTTCTTTATTTTCTCTTTGGATGTTAAAAATTCTTTGTCTTGTAGCATTTATGTATAAGGATATAAGTCTACTGCTCTTAAACTTATGTTGTATCTCTTATTATCACATTTTTTAACCTTAACTTTTAGGAAATATATCAGTATTTTGATTATAATTGCAGCCCTGTATATGATCCTTGAGTATTCTAATTTTGCTGCTTTTTGAGACCCAAGAGAATGAGGAGTTCTTAATGCACAATTTGGGCTTCGTGAGAATGAAAATTTATGAAGGTAGACAGTAATAGTTGCCACAAAGATAAATTTGTTAATATGAAGTAAACTTTTCTTCGAGGGAATGTACTTCAGTGTCTTAATTTGTTGGTTTTGCTATTTTATAATATAAATCTTTTGTATAATATATTTGTGTTGTTGTTTTAATAATAAGTTTTAGGTTAGCAATATGTTGCATAATATGTCGTTGAATTTTGCAGTCATGTTGGGGGGCCTAATTTATGGGCTTCGCCTCGGGCCCAGATCTTACCGAATGTGTACATGAAACGATAAATGGGTGTATATAAAAAATATGTTTGTCAAAGTTAACATTTGCCAAACTTGCACAAAATAGTATCAATCATGTTACTTTGCCTAAAAATTGTTGACATACTACATGATCAATACTCAAAAATAGGGGGCCCACTTTTTTTGGACTTTTTAATCACACGGAATCCACGTGCATGTGAGAGGATGTCAAGCATTGTGCCAAATTTTTTCAGGCAAAATAGTTTAATTCAAATAGTATTGCTCTGGTCTACGGATGAATTTCAGGTGATTCAATCCCAAGTGTTTTGAGAATTGAACTGGTCAAATATCCATTAAGAATTGTGAAAATGATTATTGGCTCTATAACAAAGGAGGAGCTAAATCAGAACAGAATCGATTAATTATTGATACTTCCAATTTTATTTTATTTTATTTTTTTCCAGTTTCATCCTTTATTCTTGAAATTATAAAACTCTCAATTTTCAATTCAAGCAGACAAGTTACAATTATTGAGAGAGTATTAAAAAAAGGTGCCCACCCTTGCTCCAGTCACAGCATGGCTATAGTTTCTGAAAAACTTTTACCATTTTCTTTACAGATTATTTGACAGATATTGATATGAAATGTATTTTGGCCCCTAAATTAGGGTCAAATGCATGCACCTCATCATCACCTATCAAATAATCTGTAAAAATATTTCAACACAAAAAAGCTTTATTGAAGTTTTTATTGATCCTCTGTCTTTCGAATAATGTTATTTGTACGTAAAGACTTACATAATAATTAAATACAGATAAAGTGTAAAAAATAGTGTGAATTTTAAAATTTTTTAATTAATTGAAAAAAAATTCTGATCCAATAATATCTTATTGCATCATGTGTGTATAAAGAGTAAAGTTATTTATAGTCTTTCATTGCAGTAGTCGTCCTACGTGGCATCCTATATGACGGTTTGTGTTTTGATGTATTAATTTGATAATTTTTTTTGTCATATATATCAAATCACTAACCATCACAAGCGTGTTACGGAACGATTACGATAATAAGTGATTGCAAATAATATTATTTATATATAAATTATTATGTACATTAATACAATTAGAGTGTGTTTGATTGACATGGAAAATATCATTTAGAAAAGAAAATGTTTTCCATCTTTTGTGGAAAATAAAAACCACCTCTACCCAAGGAAAATGTTTTTCTTAAAAACATGGAAAATTAGGCATATTTTCAAAAGTTGGAAAATATTTTCCATGGAAAAAATAGCAATCAAACACTCCAAGTAAGAATTTGGGTGGAAAATTGATATTTTCCATGGAAAATAAATGTAATCAAACACACCCTTATTGTCATTTAGGACCCTTTGCGCACTAAACTCGCAGAAGCCAATCAGGGCTTTTCCCTCTAATCCTAAACATAGCCCACTACAATGGGCCCACCAAAACTTGAAAACCCGAAGATGTCCCCCAATACATAACTAGGATCATTTTAAATTACAGGGGCAGTTTTGTCTTTTAGGTCAAGCTACATAAATTGAAGTCAAAAGACACAATTCTCAACTCTGTACGCTTCGGCTCTATTTTTTGTTTTCGTTTTGATGATAATGGCGTCAATCTCTTCACCGCTGTGTCAATTCCCGTGTATGGCACTTCAAAGAACCTCTCAGAACTCCAAAATGATTGCTTCGTCTCGGATAAATTCTATCAATATCTCTGGGAAAAACCCCGTGCAGAAGTTGAAGAGAAATTATGCAATCACGGCGGTGCTTCCAGGTCTAGAGAAGGATCCGAGAGAACCGGGATTGGCTGTGATAGTGGAGCCACCACTAAAGGAACCAACGGAAATTGAGAAGCTGAAGAAAAAATTGATGGACTCATTCAACGGGACAGATAGAAGATTGAGCGCCTGTAGTGAGACTAGGGCTGAAATTGTTGAGCTAATCACGCAGGTTGAGGCAAAAAATCCAACTCCGGCTCTGATGGAGGCGTTGACTTTGCTCAATGGAAAATGGATTCTTGCTTAAGATCTACCTTAATTTTTCTTTAATATGAAGCTTTGCGTTCTTGTTTTTGTTTAAAAAATGCTTAATTTATTAAATTGTCTAAGAGTTACTTTCAACTTGCAAATGAATCAAACGTCAAATACTCAACGTATTTCCATTTTTTTAGGTTTTTAATTTTAATTTTTTCTACATCAATTTTTTAAGTCTTGCACAAGATGGTGTGTCATCGATGCAAGAAAAAGAAAAATGCAGTTTTTGCATATGATTTCATACAAATCTACGGATCATTAACAAAAATCAGTTATTGAGTTATGATGTGTATCTCTTTTAGAAAAGTTTAATAGAAATGAATTTTCTCTCTCTTTCATAATGTTATTATTATTAGATAAATGTTTTCAAGCAACAATTTAATGTTTTCTTAGACATCATTAGTATCATTTGCACTCTATAAATTACATACGCAAATGGATACAATAGCAGAGAGGATCGTACTTTGAAACCATACAAACACCTTCCTATGCTATACATTCAGACCTACTTCACGTCGACGTTATAGAAGGAGATGTAGGACGACTCAGTGGTTTTCTCAGGTTCAAAAATAGATTGTGACATTGAATCCATGTCCGACGACGAGTGGAGTTTCGAAGAAGACGTGATGCAGCAGTTAGAGGACATTACCACGTGGGTCGAATATTGACGATTTGTGAAGCATGTTGTTCGCGAGTACTTGGCACCGAATGGAGCAAATCAATATTTATTCCCGACTAAGCGGTGTGGCTACATTTTTATGCTGCAGAATATGCATATCCATCTCCAAACATGTTTTCAAGAATTTAGGATGTGTTCGTCCATGTTCATGCACTTCACACACATTCTTCGTGATCAGTACGGTATATTGAGTAGCACGAATATCGACGTGTACAAGCAAGTAGGAATGTTCTTGTACATACTTGTACACGAAAAATGATATCGACAAGTGTAAACTATGTTCGGTCACTCGCTGCAGATCATAGCGCACTATTTTAAGACGGTACTGCATGCATGCTTGGAATTCACTGTTATAATGGTAAAACCAGATCTGACATACAACGGAGGTGCTGCCCACCATTGGTCCCATACAGAGCGCTACCTTCTATTCCAGGTTTGTGACACTCATTCACGAAACATTTTTGGGGTTTTCATTGATATGGTGACGTAAATTATGAACTTGACAATAGCTGTTTGTGATCGTGAAATTGCAGGACTACATTCGTGTAATTGATGGGACACAGGTCAGAGCTGTATTGCTTAGTCGCAGAAGGGAAAATTTCTTAGGAAGAAAGGGTATTCTGATGCAGAACGTGTTGGCAGCCTACGATTTTAACCTATGTTTTACGTTCGTGTTGTCAGGAACCACAGGGAACACGCATGACAATTGTATATTGACCCGAGCAGTGCATAGTCCAAAAATAAGTTTTCGCAACTAGCGAACGGAAAATATTACCTTGTGGACTCAGCGTTCGCACACAGGCCTGGGTATATGGCATTATATAAGGGCTCCGACATTATATATCATTTCCAAGAGTTCGGGAGCTCAGCGAGAGAACAACAGCGTCATTTTCATAATGCACGCGAGCGATTCAATTTCCACCATTGTTAATGTCGAAATGTTATCAAGTGGGCGTTCGGTGTTTGGAAATAGAGATGGAATATTCTAGATCGAATGATAGCTTATAATATGAGAGTGCAAACTGTTGTAGTCGTGGCCTCAATGAAAATTCCTAACTTACTTAGAAGAAACGATCGGCTCGACGAGGATTTCCATGGAGTCGAAGAAGTGAACGATGTGAAGTTGAGATCTAACTTTCTAATGAACAAGGTAAAATTGTCGTTGATCTGGATGTAATAGACGCGGAGGACATGTCGTGGCAACAATTGCACGATTACATGGTATAGACGCTATATTAGTAGTCGTACGTTGGGGACGAGAAGAAATTTTTTGTTGTGTGTATTTTCTTTTTTGTGTAACCTGTCTTCATTATGTTGATGTCTCAAGTGTCGATGATGGGGACGTTAGTCGCTGTCAATTAGAAGTTGTCCACCAACAATTACGAACCATGTAACATGTTTGTTTCCGTATTAATAAAATAATCGTCTCCTGTTTGTAGAATTGTCTATCAATTTGTGAAAGTGACATGTGTTAAAGATATTGCACCACGTGGCCAAAATTGTTTACTCATCTTCAAAGGCATTTGTGGAATTGTTGAAATTAGGTAAGGTTGAATCCAATGGTTGATGGCAAATTGCAGGATGAATATGTTAGAAACATTGATTATCTTCTTACTGGGGCCCACGAATGGCAGCAATAATCTGGAGAAAATAAGATGAGAATGGGGGTCAAACAAGCTCTATAACTATAGAGATGTGAATCCTAGAAAGGTATACCTAGGGAATGATCATACACACAATGTGAAAAGAATAGGTGATTGTGCTATTAGAATACATAATGGCATTATCAGACCCCTTAGAGGTGTTAGGTATGTCCGAGCCTAGCAAAAAATCTTATTTCCTTAGGCACTCTAGAAGAAAAAGATTATGAGTTCAGATCTCATGTTGGTACTTCAAAGATTTTTAAATGGTCTCAAGTGGTTATAAAAGGTCCCAAGAAAAATGGATTATATGTCCTTCAAGATGAAGCCTTAAATAGTAAAGAGTCAGTATTATCTTCAGTTTGTAAAGATAGATCAGACCTTTGTCATAAGAGGACGTGACACATTGGAAACAAAGGGTTAAAATATCTAAATGACTAGAATTTACTTGGTGAGGATAGTATTACATCTTTACGCTTTTGCGAGACCGATGTTCTGTGAAATTCACACATGGTTAGCTTTGGGATAGGTGAACACGGTAATAAGAGATCATTGGACTACATTCATTCAGATTTATGGGGTCCTGAAAAACATCCCACACGTGGAAGGAATAGATTTTTTTAATCCATTATTAATGTCCACTCGAGGAAAGTTTGGGGTGCATCTCTTTAAGTCCAAATCTGAAACTTTTAGTAAGTTTAAGTCATGGCTTGCGTTAGTTGAAAATCAAATGGGAAAGGGTGTGAAAACTCTTAGGACGGACAATAGTTTAGAATTTTACAACTTTGAATCTGATAGTTTTTGTAAGGTAAAGGGTATAACGAGGCACAAGAATGTAAAACATACCCCCCTAAACAAAATGGGGTGACAGAGAGGATGAATCGAACTTTATGGGATAAAGTCAGATATATGATGATTAGTTCAAGGTTGTCCAAAGGTTTTTAGGGTAAAGCCGTGCATACTGCTGCCTATTTGATAAATAGGTCACCTTTTATTTCTATTAACTACAAGACTCTCCAAGAGTTGTGGTCTGGAAAAATCTCAGATTTGTCACGCATTAGATTGTTTGGTTGTGTCGGTTGATGGCAAATTGGACATTAGGGCTACAAGTTTGTCATGTTAAGTTATCCAAAAAGAGTGAAAGGATATAGACTATGGGTTTTAGGTGTGAAAGGCATTGAAATTATTAGTAGTAAAGATGTGAAGCTCAATGAACTTGACATGTCTTGCCTTAAAAACACAGACATATAAAACAAACAAACTAAGGTAGGAGAATCTTTTACTGAAAAGAATATGGAATTTGAAGTGAAGAAATTGGATAAGAATCCAAAGGATAGTGAAATCCAAACTTAGAAAGAACCTAATCAAGAAGCAATAATAGAACAACTTGAACTTGAAATTCCTGAAACTATTGTCCCTAATCAAGAAACATCTGGAAGTATTAATTTGGATGATTACCAATTAGTAAGTGATGGAGAGAAAAGACAAGTGAGGCCCAATTTGAAATATATCTCTTCCAATTTGATAGAATTTGTCCTCGTTTCAGGTGAAACCTTAGAGTCAATTGAACTGACTTTATTTAAGGAAGCTTTAAACTGTAAAAATTCTGAAAATTAGAAAAAGGCTATGAAAAAGGAGATCTAGTCTCTAAACAAAAATGAGACTTGGAAATTGATTGAAAAATCAGAAAATCAAAAGGTAATCATTGTAAATAGATCTAAAAGTTGAAAGAAGAAATAGGACCTTTAACATATAAAGCTGGTTGGTTACGAAAGTGTTTACTCAAAGAGAGGGGATAGCCTATAATGAGATGTTCTCACCAATCATTAAGTATAAAATTATTAGGTTAGTCTTAACCTTGGGTGGTCAATAGGATTAGGAGTTGGAGCAACTAGTTGTTAAGACGACTTTTCTTCACGGGTAGTTGGATGAATTGATTTATATATCTCAACCTCAAGGGGTCGAGGTGAGGGGAAAATATGAACTTGTGTGTTTGCTTAAAAAGTCCTTATATAGTCTTAAGCAAAGTTCTAGGCAATGATGTAAAAGATTTGATGCTTATGTGCTTAAAATTGGTCTTAAGAGAAGTGAATTTGATACATGTTTGCATTTTTAATAACTCTAAAACAGACTATGAAGTTTATTTATTGTTATATGTGGATGACATGTTGCTTTGTAGCTTTAGTAAAGCTGAAATCATTAAGATAAAAACGTTTTAAAGTCGAAATTTGACATGAAAGACTTGGGAGATGCAAGAAAAATTCTTCGCACAGTTATTAAAAGGAATAAAGCTGATAATAGGATGACTATTAATCAACAGTCCTATTTGGACAAAGTGAAAATCAAATTTGGTGTGAAATTTGCTAAGTCTGTCAATATGCCATTACCTGCACACATGAATTTATCATCTGCACAACGCCTTAAAACAGAAGAAGAAATGCATGAAATGAGTAATGTTCCTATGTTAATGCCATTAGGTCTATGATGTATTCTATGATTACCATGAGATCAGACCTTTCATATGCAGTTAGTTTTTTGAGTAGGTTTATGTCTAACCCAAGTAAACTTCATTGGACTGCACTTAAATGGCTGTTGAGATATCTAGCTAAAAATTTAAAAAGATTATTAGTGTTTAAACGAAAAATGAAAAGTTAGAGCTTAAATGATGTGTAAATTCTGACTTTGTGAGGGATAAAGATTAGGGGAAATCTACCACTTCATACTTCTTCACTTTAGGTGATAATTATATCGCATGGAAATTACAGTTACAACCTATTGTTGCACTCTCCAGCATTGAAGTAG